AACGAGTTCACTTCCAAGTGAACAACCCGATAGTCTTCTTCTTATCATAGCATACCAACCAGCGAACACCCAGCCAAGTTTAGTTAGCCAGTTTGAGTATTCGTTACAAGTATTCCCCCTATACCTGGTAACATCCCCCTTTACTTACACAAAGCAAAACTCGGCTAATTCATAGTCGTAAAGCGTAGGAGTGTCACGGTACAAGTGCAAGTCGAGGACAATTGCGACTTGGTTGAATAGATTGATTACAGGGAGAGAAGAGATTCTTAAGGAGATCTATCTTTTAAGTCGCTTGACACTGGTCTGTGCTGGTTTATCCATAATTGTGAATAGCTTCATAAATGAACGCAGGTCACCTGACCTGACTCCTTGACAAGGAGCAAAAAGAGCGGCTAGGAAGAGGGGGTAGGGGGTAGGGGGGTATAGTGAAATTATAGGAGGGATAATATAGGACTACGGGAGTAATAATATAAGGGGTGGGCGGGGGTGGGCGGGGATTACAGATATATAAGATTCGCACCTAAAATGAAAAACTATTGCAACAGTCAAACAGTAGTGTATTTGTTTCTTGAGAATAGTCTAATTTATATATAATTCAGGAAACTTTTGCATGAGCCCTTAGGGTCCTCTAGCCCGTGTAAATCCTAGACTTTTGCACCTGTTTTGTATAGAGAGATTTGCGTAGCTAAACACCCCCAAATATAAAGATTTAATCTTTAATTAAAACACACCACTCGCCTAGGAAGTGAATAGAGCAAGCCAGTTATTAAATTACAAAACAACAACTCCTCGTAAGGCGTCCACGCCACTCCCCTATCTCCGTCTCCGCCTCTCCCCCTCTTCTAAAAAAAAATAGTACGAGCAAACCTAACCTCCTTAAAAAAAATTCAAAAAATCCTTATCCTTATAGAAGGCGGCCTTGGACAATAAACCAGACGTACTGAGTTTTTTGCGGTTTGACCAGTCAATCTTCAAGTAAAGTTCTCACTCAATATTACCATTAAGCTACGCAGGCATATACTCTTGTGACTTGGTGTGAGGTGTGTCACTTAAGGTTATAATTAGGCGGGGGGTGAATGTAGTGAATGATAGTTTAGGGAATGGAAGGGATAAACAGATATGGTATGTTATACTGTAGTAGAGCCTGTTGAGGTGGGGCTTTTGGTAATAGGTTGTGATGTTTGATCTTAATAAGTTTTGTAAGGATGTAAGATATAAAAGCTTGAAATCTTTGGATTCAAGTTATTGAAACGAGTAAGAAGTAGGTCGACATTAGAGTTTAATTAAAATAATTAATTACTTAACTCTAGGTAAACAAAAGTCAAAGCTATTCCCAGATACGATTATTTTGCCTTTGGTTTACGTCTGGTACTAACTCTCGCCTTACTGCGTCCTTTTTTAGTGAAGACGAAATGGCCGGGTCTGCAGCATCTATAAACAAGAGTAGATGTATTAGGGTACTAGGAAAGTGAGGAGGGCTAGGGAGCACAGTCCTTCATATAAATTAGCTGTTGTTATAGTGTTAACAGCCTACATTCCATTCCTTATTCTACACCTACCACCCTACTTATTCCATACCCTCCTGAGAGATAAAAAGGCGTATTATAGAATAGTATTATACTTGTGACTGCTATAATAGTAACCCTCAATTCTATAGTGTTACGGTTATAATAGTCTAATTGACGAAAGGGTAGATTTGAGGGTTACCATAGCACAGATAAATCCTTTCGCCACGCGTGATAGTGTGTGGTTGCCCACATGTACCCCAACTCCATTCGGCGTAAGCAATTTATATTTGCGGAGGTTCAATTCCGAGGAATTGATCAAGTGGACAAAATCGTGAATAACAACAAGCTACAATTCGCTACACCGGAACCACGGTAATGGACCGAATTCAGCCGCGAACAAGAACAGGACAAACTTATGGACTCAATCTCAGCCTAAGAGAACACAAACGGACTATTAGCCAAGTAAGGAAGGTAGGAGTGCGGTGTTATATCTCGTTCTCTCAAATGACCAGTTGAAATATTGAAGGAAAGGCACCAATGAAAATGGAGAAAAATACTCGATTTGGTATATAAGACACCAACCTTCCGAATATTCGTGGAACTGATCGTCCCTCTTTCATCAATTTTCCATTTCTAGATTCTTTCTGTTTGATATGCAGATCCTCACTCTTCTTCTCGCTTCTGCCTCGGTGGCTCAAGCACATTACAACTTCAACGCCTTGCAATACGGTGGCACCACGCAAACGACCTGGCAACAAGGTATATTTATATTTCCTCTCCCTCCCCCATTCTTTCTCTAAACATCATCTAGTGCGTAAGCGATCGGACGTAGATAGTCATGGTCCAGTACAAGACGTCTCCCTCCTCGACATCCGATGCGGCAAAGACGCATCCGCAAATTTCGCTCCAGGCATCCTCTCCGTCGCCGCAGGACAAACCCTAGGCTTTTCCGTGGACCCCGAAATCCAACACCCCGGTCCGAGTATGGCGTACCTGGCTAAAGTCCCAGCTGGAAAGACGGCCGCGAATTGGGATGGAAGCGGGGCGGTTTGGTTCAAAGTTTGGGAACAGGGACCTTCGGCTCTGAACTCGAATGGAGGGACCTGGCCTGCTACTGGTATGTATCCCATATCCCCTCTCTCTAACCCTAACAATGAAAATAATGAACATTGGCTGATAACACAAAGGCTTGAAAACCCTCAGCTTCGCAATTCCCAAAGCTACGCCCTCGGGTGACTACCTTGTTCGAATCGAGCATATCGGGCTTCACGGCGCGGGGAGCACGAATGGAGCACAGTTTTACCTGTCTTGTGGACAGATCACTATTACGGGTGGTGGGAGTGGTACTCCGGGTCCACTTGTTGCGTTCCCGGGAGCTTATAAAGCGACGGACCCGGGGATTTTGATTCAGATTTATTGGCCTGTGGTTTGTTGCTCTGTTGTGTGAGGTCTGAGTTTGTGATGCTAATAGTTGCGATCTAGCCGACGAGTTATACGATTCCTGGTCCGAAGGTATGGACTGGGTAGGTGGGGGAGGAACTGAATGTTGGAATTGTGTGGAGGTGTATATAGCGGGGTGGTTGTTATGTGTTGTTGATGCAGTTGGATAATAAATATTTATTTGCCATCAGTTAGACTTCTGCTATTTTATTAAACGCTTGAGAATCGAACCACATGTTGCTTTCGCCAGTTATTTGTAACATGAATTAAACACCTTTTGCATCAATAGCTACATTGTACACTACAGAAATCGCTCTCTATCCTCCGTAACGAACACTATGCGGTGGTCATTTTAATGCAAAAGGGAACCCATCCGAAAGTGCGAATGTCTTCGCCTATTAATTAGGGACCATGCGAACTTTTATAAAGTACAAAAGCGCCGAACTTTTTAACATCCGTTGTGTAGCGTTTGTCATTCATCACTGTACAAAGCTAAGCGAGACCTGAAAATAATCATCTGCATGAGTTCGTTGGTAAAACTCCACATAACGTGAGTCCCAAAATAGAGGTCCAATACTCAATGAATAATTATAATAGCAATAAACTTCAAAGCGGGGCTTTCTGAGATGTGCTTCCAAGGATTGAAATCAGTGCTGTACTGTCTCAGCTGTCTTGATCAAGGGTTTTTTTGGGGACGTTTTGCAATACGCCCATTTTTGGTATGTGTTACGGATACTTCTTACTCATTGAATGTTGCTAAATCTGGTGGTAATTCTGCAAAAAGCTAAACTGTTGTCTTTTCGTTTCGCTTCAACTTTCGCTACTTAATTGATTTTTTGAGGACAAGCGATTTAGAGTGGAGATAATATCTAACAAAGATATACGAAGGAAGATCTACAGTAGAAGTGATTAATGCACGATGATGGAGAAATGGAATTTGTGAATTATGAATTGTGGATTCTTCACTTAGAGGTTTCCTTGACACTACCAAAGTTTTTATTGTTATTCAAAAAACTTCCTAAATATAGACAACTTAAGATGAAATAAATCAGAAATTACACGTCAGTCCATGTAAGAGAACTTGTAATGACTCCCTTTATCCCGCTGAAATAGTAATTATAGCCTCGAGAATTCATTGTAGACATATCAGCTTACAATCAGCTTTCTATAAATTATATAAATAATGGGGGTTTTTTAGGTAGATTATTGAAGCGAAACCAATATGACAAGATTGGAAACTACTCATTTGACCTGAACTTATATCCATAATTGTGACTGTCCCTACTAACAAAATTATACTCAGATTTCCGAGAATAGCAGCTGAATCGAGATAATTAGCTTCTGCACAGACTATCGTGGAAAATTGAGTCACGTTGATCAATATTTCACTTGTTAATTACACGTCACTTGAGTCTTTAGTTCGAGTTCAATTGTTTTGTGATTTCAGCCATCTCCGAGCAAAACAATCACAACTCCTTCTCCTCTTTCTCCTTCTTTACCCCCAAGAACACCCTTTCCCTCAATACCGCCTCCGTCTCCTTACCCATCCTCCGACGAGACTCGTATAATCTGCCGCCTGAGCAGCAGAAGAATAGTCCTCATCATCGTCGTCCGGGTCCTCCAACAAAAACTCAACATCCAGTTCCAACCTCCCAATCTCCAGCCCTGAAAGGCTAGAAAGACACCCAAAGACCCCCAACCCCCCCTCAATATCCCCCTTATTCTCCTCATCCACCACAAGTTTCAGGTCCAGGACATCCAGCTCAATTGTCCGGCACCTAGAAGTGCCAATAGGCTCCTCACATCCCCCAGATACCGGGCCTCGGTAAAATCAACCTCTAACGAGAGGGATTTTATGGTAGACACGACAGCCGGACGGTCTCTGAGGAATGCAAGGAGGGAAGCTGGACGGCAAGGACCGCGGTCGGAATTGGCGTGCTTTCGTGTCTTCTTGTAAAGACACTTTCCAAGTGTCGCCCGGAAATCCACCATCACCTGACCGAGCTCGACAAGCGAGCGCACCAAAGAACGTGTGACTCCTGGGAGTCGAGGAACGAGGACTGCGTAGTTGCCAGAGCGGCCGAGGAGACGAGAGGACGAAAGATTGGCGGCCGAAGCCCGTGGTGTGATGACCTTCAGGCTGAAGTAGCCGTCCGAGTCGAAGAGAGGTGCAAGTAGAATGGCGAGGATTTTGATGGAGAGCTCGACTGCCAGATCGGCCCACCGAAACGAGGTACTGTATATATATCCGATTAGTATATGTGCCCGTTGGACGCGCAAATTGAAAGTGCCAATTGGAAAGCGTGGGACAGTAGAAAGGAGGGATATCTTACACAAAAGGCAGGACAGCAGGTGCCACTGCGACAACAGGGCCAGGAACGACAGCAGCAGGACCGGAGTCCACGACAAAACAAAAGTCGCCGTAATTGGCGAAAGAAGACGAGGTTCCAGACATTCTCAGAGTAAATTCTGGTCTGTGCAAACCTGGACGAAAGCAGATTGTTGCCAGGAAGTGCGATCTGAAGAAGTGAGCTTGGAACAAGCGCGAAGATTTCTGTCGCAAAGCGAAATTTTTGATGTTGACACAGGCGACGATGTCTACTGGGCATGCCTGGCATTTTGATTGGCGCGTGGGCGACCAGCTCCAGGACAGATGGGACGTTGAAGTCCACATGGTGGTGGACTTGAAATCGCTGCGATCTGGTACAAGTCGGTGGATGTAGATAGGAAAGAGGGCAAGTCGGTTGAGGGGTTTGGAGTTTTGAATTTATCTTCTTGGTGTGATTTCGGCTAATTTTCCTCTTTTGGAATCGGCGTAAGGGGGGAAATTAGCAACGTCAACTGGACTTGTCGTTTGATGAGATCACATGATTACTGTAGGTGGCTAGTAGTGGCTGGGTATAGCAAACTTTTAGTCTTGAGAAATGCAACAGAGTCCATTCACAAGGAAGTGAAGGATTGAAAAGCGTCGCCGTTCCCCCATTGTCGTAAGCGAAACTTTATTTCCTTAAGATGGTGAGACTAGGACTCTTATAAGACAACTGTTGGAATTACATCAGAAGACTAAAGCTCTAATTACTTGTTAGTAATCTTGTATAAATGAAAGAAGTAAGATAAGATACGCTCTTTCAAAACAAGTAGCTAGTGCATTAGAGTGGGGAACAGACGAGGGTATTACCTTTGATGCTGAAAAGTCTGAACTTATCCACTTTTCTCGTAAGAGAAAGCAAAGAGGTAGAGGCATCCGGCCTCCTCCATCTATTGTCATAGAAAACAGGACAATAGAACCGACACAAGAGCTTCGATGGCTCGGTATCTTCTTTGATCCCCGTCTTACCTTCTACAGCCATGTTAAAAGAATGACAAGTAAGACTAGGTTAGTAGCGAACGCTTTAAAAGGGACAACAAACACAATAAGAGGCTCTCCATCCCACTTGCTGAAGCAAGCTACCACTGCTTGTATTCTGTCAATCGCCTACTTTGGAAGCGAGACCTGGTTCCCTGGGCGGTCTAGGGTTAAAACAGGCCAAGTAGGAACTATAAACAACCGAATTGGCCGTCACTTGACTCTCTTAGACAGAGTAGTGGCTAAGTGTGCTAGGATTATTCTTCCGGTGTATAAGACTACTCCTACCTCGATACTGCTCATGGAATCTGGCCTTCTAGCCTCTGAAATTGCTCTTATAGTAAGAAGCGAAGCACTAGACGCCCGAATCCGACGGCTAGATCCGGACCACCCACTCAAACGATGTGTAAATAACCCTAGCCCTAAAGCTAGGCTTATTTACCGTGCTCGGAGAATCCTTCCTCCCTCTGAAGAGATTGACCCTATATAAGACCCTCCATGGAGCAGGGGTTTTGACAGACAAGCCCGTCTTCTAGAGGTAGGGGGACCAGACCCTAGCGGAGACAAGAATTCCTTTAAAGCCAAATTCCTTGAATTTCTAGCTGATGTTCCACCTACGGATCTGGTAGTATTTACCGACGGCTCTCGCTTAGACGACAAAAGTACTGGAGGTGGCGTATGTCTCACAAGAGGGGGGGTTATTCTTAATACTAAGGCTTTCTCCTTCGGCAAGGCATTGGAGATATATGATGCAGAGGCTAGGGCTGCTCTCCATGGACTAGAACTAGCTTCAAACTCCCTGTACTGGCCTTCGGCTAGGAAGTGCTGGATTTGCCTCGACAACCTTGAGGCTGCGCTTCAACTAACATACCGGTCTTGTGGCACATCGCAAGGGATCTTTAATACAGTCCATGAGTTAGCGTCATCATACCCTGGGAAAATACAGACTAGGTGGTGCCCTAGTCACATAGGTATCCTAGGCAATGAAATCGCGGACAGAGCTGCTGGGAAAGCAGCGCGGATACCCCCTTCTAATTCCCTCTCTCCACTTTGTACTGCTACGCTCTAGAGGGGGGTTAAAGAAACAGGGATTGGACTTGCAAAGAAGCTCTGGAGCGCTACACTCCCGGCTGTCTATAAGGATCTGGGGCTTGAAAATTGGTCTTTGAAGCCACGGTCTCTTCAATTACCAAGAGAGGTTCTAGCTCGCTTAATAGCTGCTCGTTCTGGGCATGGAGACTTTGTCGCTTACCACCTTCGCTTCTTTCACTTCGACGCATTACTTACCTCAGGGGATTGTAAGTGTAAGAAGGCTAAGTCTCAATTCCACCTACTCTTTTGTAGGCTAGCAAACAACGTAGCCCCTAGGCTACTAGCAGAAGCTCAGAGGAACCCTCAGCTGCTCTTCGGCCCCGGCTGCGAGGAGCTATTTAATAAGGTCTACTTTAAGACTAGATTCTTCACTAAGATTTGTCTACCTAGATAGGCTGGCCTACTTTTCTTTCTTTCTTTGATTTATGTATTTCACTTGTTGTACCCTGGTTCTCAAAACTAATTAAGGATAAGGGCTGTCCGAAAGTGGGGCTTCTCTTTAAACTGTCTCTTGTAAATTAGCGTCTCTTCTTTTACACCCCCCTGTAGCCTAGGGCACCCCCCTAGCGTCATTTGCCCATATTGGGACTCTTCTAGGACCTAGCCCACGCGAGCTAGACTCCGCTTGACGTTAAATAGCAATAAATAAATAAATAAATACTGCCTTTTTAACTATTTTTATAGCTCTCTTTTATCTCTTTTATTATAGTAATACTCTTATTTATTCTACTATTCTCTCTCTCTTATTATTAGATATAAAAAGAGCCTTCTCCTCCTCTATAATTATACTCCCCTCTATAGCGTATATACCCCCCTTGTCTCTCTTTCTTATATTACTTATTCATTACTTTTATTTTCGCTCTTTTTATTATATTATACTTACTAGTTCCTAATTATTTATAAGCTATATAGCTTTAGTAAAAGTAACTTTTAGAGCTTTTAATACTTAAATTAGTATAAGAGTCGAGATAGTAGGTGTTACGGAGTTGGAGGAACTGGGGGCGGATCACGTATAGCATGGCCCGTGCGTGCTACTTGACTGCTGTATTTAGGCTCTCGTTCCTCTGGAACTCTCTTCTTCTCTCACTTAGTTGTTCGTTCAATATAGCAGTTTCCGGTTTGACTCAGTATTCATCACAGCAAGCAGTGGTTCACTCCACACGGTCACATTACAACTAAGTCACCTCTTCGCCTGGGAAGGCCTGTTACAATATCCCTCATTTGTTATTTCTTTTCGGCTGACGATTCTTGACTCGACGGATTTCCGACTCAACAATCCTCAGTAACACCTTGTTATACGTCACTGAACACAGTACGTGTTATACGTCCCTGAACAATGGTT